CACCACACATAAGGATTCCCTCCCCCACCCGGAGAGGTCTCAAAAAAAGTTTTGTCGGGTAGGTGTTGGAAAAACAAATTGTTGTGCGCCCTTGTGTGACCGCCCAATTCTTCTCGAAAAAGTATGACATGACGAACTCGGTTTGTGCAGAGATGAACACTTAGAGTACAACTGGTACACTGCCCGACGAAGGAAAACCAGCAGCACCGGAATGCGTTGGATTCCAGCTTACGGTTGCAAATTTTGAAAGAGATCGCTGTCACTGAAAAGGCTGAACGGTAAAATAGTCACCATTCATGAAAGGCTGGCGCAGCTGCCCCCGTGCATACCGTCCAAATTTAGCTACAATACATTTATTCGGTATATTCTTCGATTCTCGAAAACGGTTTCTCAATCAGTATTGGGTGATGTCCCGCGGCGTTCGGCGCAAACAACCTTTCATGCGTCCGAAAACGCTCGCAGACAGAATGCGCTTGGAAACGTGCGAAACAGCCCTCCATCTCTTATGTGGGGCTTAAGAGGAAGGAAAGAGTTACGATGTAAACAAAAACTGTTCACAGTCAGTACGGCCTCGTCTCAATCTCTTGTAACCTCATGCTACCACCAACGTCTTTGTTCATGCATTGCTCACCATCATCTACCGCATAGTCGTCTTCATCGTCGTCGTACCCGATGACGTCGTCAGACTCCGCGGAAGTCCCGATAGTTGCGAACATTTCTTCTGCCTCCCTCAGGGACCCATCGAACTCGCAGTTACTAGATGTTGCGAGGGTTAAGTAAGTAGAAGGGCAGCTGAACTGCTCGAACGTGGGTATCTCGTACGCTTCATCCACGCAGGCCATCACGCCATCGTCGACCACCGCAGCAACGCACACGCTTGCATCAAATCCGATGGCTTCCATGTCCGCAATGTAGCAGGCAATTCTAGTCCACGTGGGATAGTCGCTCATGTACGAGGACCCATAAGAATTAACACTGCCGCATACCGAGCACGTGCAGTCGTCGGAACCATCTTCTCCGGAACTTGCCGCCCACAAGCACCTGGAAGCGTCAAAACTGCCACAGCCTGTCCATCTGGCCAGGGTGTCCCCCGTATTCACTTCACATCCGGCGCTGTCGTCGCACGTGCTACGGTCATCCCATTCCACCAGCAAGTCAGTGTCGAAAGGGTCCAGCGCTAACAACGTGCACCCTACCAAGCACTCCGAGGAGTCGCCGGAGTCGATCTTGATGAACATTATCAAGAGCCAAATACCGATGGTCCGAAGCAAAACCGTCAGAGGCAGCACGTCATCTGCACGAGGTTGTAGGAACGTTCACGCAGTGAGGGTCAAGCGAGAATTTTCCACAATATCGTTCATGTGGATACAATACAGCGCATGTTATATTCATTATTCGCTTCAGTATTTCTAGGTGGTGGATAGAAAGCTGTGGTGAAGGTTCCATCGCTTCCGTAGATGGTACCATCACTTCCGTCCATGGAAGATTTCACGAATGCCACAGACATCGCAGATGTTTCAAGACAAAATGCGGAAGTAGCGAAGACCTGTCATCGGCCTGTTCACGTTTCGCTTGGAAGTGATGGCAGCTTCCAGAGAAGTGATGGAAGCTTCCAGAGAGGTGGTGGACGCTTCCACGCGATGTACTCTGTCTTCCGATGAACGCTTGACTCCAGTTTCGTGCGACAAGCCTTCACTTACTTCTTTATGTAATGTGTGTTTCGGGGGGGGGGTCAGAAGATCGAAAGACCGGCGATCTCGATCTTCGATCTCGAATTAAGCGATCTAACATTGTCGATGCCGATCTCGAGAATCGCCGGTCGGAATTAAAATGAGATCAGAAACTTTATTTCAACTACGACCTCGACCACTGTGTGATGGAACGTTGTTCGATCAGTGCGGGGCTGACTGTGCGGCTCTCTGGGCAAGTTGTGCCCGGAGATTCTGAAGCCCCTCGACCAGCCTATGATCTGTCTAAGGGCTTAAGTCTCTGATGGCGAAATTCTCCAACCTATATCGAGATCCCCACGTTCCTTGACCCCCAAGATGGGCCGATTTCCGTATATTTCCTTGTTTTCGAGCGTTGGCGATATCGTGTTTCTCCTCTAACAGCAACTTTTTTTTTCATCGGTCAATTTGGTCGAAATTCCAACGATATATTTTCGAGTGGGGTTAAATGGGTGTGCCTCCTGCCCCCCGTCTGCCCCTCCTGCAAGTTTGGTACAAAAGCTTAAGCTTCTGACAGTATTTGAGAAACTCGTAAACAAGATATGAGTAGCGTTCACAACTTGACCATAAGAATGTTCGTGCGTGGAAGTAGATTGGTCGGATTGTACCGATGCTGGCGGTTTCGTATATTGCAGATGGGAATGACATTGAGGGACACGACAGGACAGACTATGGGATACGAGTTGCGGGCCCACTTTCGACTGGTTTTGGCCAAGCACTCCGTCTTTGTCCTACTCCTCTTTTCTGATGTCGACCCCACGATCTAATACATGCGGTTAACAACACTCTTTGGACTCTGGAGCTCACACAACATGAGCATATACAAACATTCTAGAATGTTTTCTCCGGAGGCTCCCGTGATCTTCCGAGTTCAACTGTGTGGGGTGTGTGTGTGTCCAGTGGTAAGCAGCTTACTGAGTGACACGACGCGCAGGTTTAGACCAGGGGCTCGAGTTGAGACGAGAGCCAGGGATGCAGGAGATGATGGGCACGCTGCCATCGCTGCTCCGGGCCGAGTCGGAAGGTCAAGGCCAGGACGGGTCGGCGGCGTTGAAAGAGGGCGCCGCAGTTGCGGGGGAACTGGTGGTGTGGTTCTCCCCAGCAGTAACCAAGAGCTGCATCCCGCGGTGGTCGTCAGGGAGGGCGCCACTGCTTTGGAGGAAAGAGTAACAATAGGCTGGGCGTAGAAGGCGTCCTGGTGCGGGCTGTGGAAGTCCCTGCTTAAGGTAGGTTTGGTCATGGACTCCAGAATACCGACTCTCTCCGTAGAAGTTGGCGGCGCTGTGTACAGCAGCGTTGCCTCTGGGGGCACTACAGGGATGATGCCACAGCAACCGACTATCCATCGAGGAGACGTCGGGCGAAGCGAGGCGGCGCCAAGGATGGTGCTGCTGACGACGGTGGGGATGCTATGTTGTGCATGTCCACCGAGGCACGTCAACCCAATCCGCTGTGGGAGCGGGAGGAGGGTAGGCAACAAAAAAAAGGTCTTCCTGGCCCCGGTAGGCGGGGGAAACGAGAAGAAAGTTAGTCACGCGGGGCACCGCATGCACTTCACGTCAGCAGCGGTGAGCTCCACGTCAAGGCTGGAAGGGATGGTGGAGCCAAAGACGCGACAAAACCGTCATGTGCCTTTTCGCCACGCCGCAATACCGAGGGACATCGGTTGTGGGCGGGTGGGGAAGAGAAGCGAAAAGGGTACCAGCTGTGCGGTGGGTTCCGCGGGCAATAATCTTCAATTCTGGATGGTGCTGGAATTTAGACTATTTTGTTTTTCTTGCGTGTGGAGTTTATGCAACGATGAGCGTTTGTCTTTCACGAAATAGTCGCAGGAGAGGCGCTTTCCAGGGGTTGAAGAGATCGCTGTTTGTTGCTGTGTGAGGGATGCGAGGGTGAAATGTTCTGTTCCCAACGTCTACATGCTTGAGGTTCACGGAGTCATCACTTGTTTTTGCATGCCTGCGTGGTTGCAGAATAAGGGAGGGTGATGGCGTGCGCAGTTGTTTCGGAGAGTTTGATGCTACACGAGAGTTCATGCCCGGTCTGGAGACATTCTGCAACTTGAGATATTCTGCAACTTGACAGGGTCATGGTCGTCCACTCTTGATGCATGTTTGAGGTGAAACTATTTCGGTCTAGCACGTAGAACTATTTGATTACGGCGGGCGTTGTTGGACTCTCGGATGTTGTTGGACTCGCGGATGTTGTAGGACTGACTCTTCCGGTGAAGGTATGGTCGTATTTCCACGTACAGAGGCACGCTGTATCATTTGTCTGTTTTGTCTTTTCAGCGAATTCTGGATGATCGCCGTATGAACGTACTTCTAGGGCAATCAGCTGACAGAATAGTCTCTGGTGGATAAGATCTAACGAACTTACGATATCCCAGGAGTTGGAATCTCATTGGGGTCACCTCTCTTCTAGGTAATGAAGAAAGGAAAAGCGCCTCGCCAGGGAGGGTAGAGCGCGCGTTGAATGGTACACTAGAGAGGGCGTATGAAGTCGTCCCCAACTTCTAGCCAGCTTGTGGCGCAAGGGAGGGCATAAGGCGCAGATTCTGAGTGTTTTCGTATGGAATGCAGACAGCAGAGTAGATATCAGGTGCTTGTTTGTGGTTATTTGGCCAAGCTTGTCGTACAGCCTCGCCAAGGGGTGGTAAGGACGTGGTCATTTTTTTTTTTTGTGCCGCGCTTGGGCGTGTAGAGCGAGCCGTGAGGGCGGTGATATGATAATGTCTTGCCTTGATGCTGCAGTACGGCCGTTGGAACCATTCGTGATATGGAGGCATTGAGTTTCATAAGGCGTGAATAACCAAGGGAGGGTGTTCGTGCGTGGAAGTAGATTGGTCGGATTGTACCGATTCTGGCGGTTTCGTATATCGCAGATGGGAGAGACATTGAGCACACAACATGGGCACATGCAAACAAGAATGGGTGCTCAGTCGACAAGCGTTCATGTACGCTAAAAACTATGTGGCCGCTGTTGGAGGCTCCATAGAGAAAATAAGAAATAAGCCTCGGCCTAAAACAGAGGTTCGTTAGTGCGGGCACCAACTGTATTCGTAGATCCTTCCGTGCCACACCGAACCGAAACGCCAGCCAAATGTTTTGTCGAACTTGCTTCCTTAGTTGCAATAGACACACTTTGCGAAGGTTTTACAGCGTATGCGTGGAGGGCGCGGAAACTATACGCTACCGAGCCGGCAGTGCATCTGGTCAGGGATGGGCTGGGGCACTGCTTGGAAGGGCTATCGTGACAAGGGCCGACAGTGTGTCTGCTGAGGGATGGGCTGAGGCATGAACTTGCATTTGGGGGGCTTCTACATTTTCTGTTGCCTCGTTTGGAAGAGGATGGACATAGTAGTGTAGGACCACACGCCATGACGTCATCAGCAGGGGGATTGAGAGCTGCTTTTCAGACTCGACATATATTAGGAAACATAAATACAAACACAGAAAGACTATGTATGGTACTGCCGACTCCTCTTTTTGGTACCAGCTGTCATCACTGTCAGTAAAATGGCTCCAACAGACTCAAAATGGGCCCAAAACCAGAAGGCGTTCTCTCACACGCCTGACTGTGGTTTTGTTTCTCAATTTCTCAAACGGGTAGTCTTTCATTGATACTATGTGAACCTTTGAGCAATCTCGAGGGCAGGCGCTTGTTCAACCATCCAACTTCACTTGTACTAAATGTTCTCCGCCCAAAACACTCTGCCAATCGTGACCACCAAACCTACGATTGCAAGCAAGGTCGGCCAAAGACGCGTTCTCCGCTTAGGAAGCGCGAAACCGCAGGAAAGCTGCGATCGGTCAACGTTTCCATCCAGTTCAGTCGGACGACGCTCTACGGTTCGGCCCCTCACGTGGCGAAATATTTTTCGCGGCCAACGCTGGGGAATTGTTTTCGTGTTCAAGTGATCAACGCATGATTTCTCCTCATGCATACACATGCACAATGTCTACTGGACGCAACCTTGATGATGCAGCCCATCGTGCTCTCGAATATATGGTGGCCTATAGATTTCGAAGAGATCACATTGGAAGAATCGTTCGTGGTTTGGTTCTACGCGTGCTTGCCTTCTTCATAAACACCAGCTCACAGTTGTCATTGAAGATTGACATGCAGCTGCTGGGGGGTGTTCTACGTGTATGTTTGTTTCCGATCGAAAAGGTTGTTGCTCTTGGAAAGAGGCTCCCCGCGAACGTGTGTGTCGTTGTGCGCAGCAGCAGTGCAAAGCAACCGTAGATAGATGTAAAATATGCTTGTCATCAGTATACCCGCTCCCGCCCGCCACACACATTGGCAATATATAAGTAAGGTGATCGTATCTACACTGGCTCACATTTCGACGAAGCTTGGCGCATTGTTCTCCTCGTTCCGGTGCAGCGGGAAACCTGCAGGAGAGGAGACGGTCTATGTGCGTGCGTTTGCCAGCCCAGCAGGCGACGGTCATACGCATTCAGGCAAATAATCACGGTAGCTTGCTGGCAGGTTGGTTATCAGGCAGA